ATAAAAAGTTGGAGAAGGGAAATGCCCAGTGGTTCGATCAGAATACATAGTATCTTGTATTTCTAGAGTAGCTTGGATTTCAAATCACTTTACCCATTACACCTTCTAAAGTATATACATGGGAATCACTTCATCCACTACTGAAATGCACCCATCACTGGGGTGGAACATGGATGTGGTTTAACAGCTCACAGTAAAACTATGCCAACAAGTTTGGACAGCAAGTGAAATGGAATTATGTATCACATTGAAATTGCAGGGGAAATTAGAGAAACAGAATGGCAAAACTCTTGCAGGACTAACACCCCTCCCTCCTGCCAAAAGTACCATTGGATTTGTCCCGTCAGGGATTGGTTTTGTGTGTCTGCGAAAGGACAGCACCTCCGGCAGCATGGCATCTCCTAAGACGACACCGGGGCATTGGTTCATCACTAATTCAGAGGCAAGAGTGCCATCTGCTGAATCACCAACATGGTACCCCATTGCTCTTCTTGGATTACTGAGTCAGCCACCTTACTTAGCTTGCAAGAGCTGACAAGAACACAGCCCGAGGTGGGCACAGGAATCGGCAGGGCCGCCAAGCCACTGCAAATTCCATTGATTCAGACTGGGAACATCAGCAAATTTCCAGGGATGCACCTGGGAAGCGAAGGTCAGCCTGCAGGGTTGTTTCCTCCAGGCCTCGTGCCAAGACTCAGTCTTAAGCCTGGCATTATAAGGCTCCTAAAACGGTGGCAGAGGGAGGGCAGCCCAGGCCTTTCCTTCATTTCACACATAGCTCATGACTGGCCATTGCTAGGGGCACTGAAAGCTTTGAAGAGAAAAGGGAGAGGAAAGGTGAATGGAAATCAGAGGAAGACATGAGCACAGTAGCTGACAGCAAGAGGCGTTGCAGCCTCAGGGACTCTGAGTCAGGTTCATGCTGAGAGTGGCCATCAAACAGAGACTGGATCAGCGACGCTGCCAGCACAGCATCCTTTTGATTGATTCTGATGCTTGTCACAGGTGCTTCTCTGACTGAAGCCCAGCTGCAGCGGCTGCAGGTTCCCAGAACCTCCCTGAATCAAAGACTTGACCAGACCACATGGGACTCCCTGGCGTTGAACCCAGGCAACAGCCCGCAGCCCAGTTACTATGGCTAGCCAACGAATGCATTGCTGCCAGCCAATAGCAGTGGGGTTAGAATTGCACGCCGTGACCGCTGGGTTCCTGACAGACAGCAGGGTCCTGTTGTTTGAACGCAGCAGCTGGACGTGATTCATGTCCAGGCAGGCAACGCCGACACTTGCACATTCTCCCAGCCTCTAAAGTGCCTCATCTCTACCACTGTGGCACAGTTGTTTCAGCCTCTATGACATTTACATAACGCCACCCACAATCCCTTGCATGGGCGTTTTAACTGTTACTCTTTCGCGGGTCTCCAGCACAATTAAGACCTTATTGTTTGACAAAGCCGATACTTTTTTCCCCTGGCTGAGGTGACAGCTGCACTCCAGGGATGAGCCCCAAGACGGGTATGTCAGGGAAGGTGGGAGCTTCCATCTCTCTAAGCCTATTGTGGAGCTCCTTCCCTTGCCTAATGACTTGGCACGTTCCATTGTGCCCGCGCATTAGTGATGATGGGCACAGCTGCACCCATGCGGTTTTGTACATTCAGCTTGTAGAACTTTGCACAGCACTGACCTTTTTCTTCTGACAGGGACCAATGAGGCTCTGGTACCATCTCAGGGCCCAGCTGCACTGTAAAAATAAACCTATTAGGGGCTCCATTTACAACCCTGTTGCCCCTCAGCTTCCTGGTTGCATATTGTAGAATAGATGGGACACAATGGTCTCCTCGAACCATACTACAGTTGGACAAAGCAAGGCTGTAGCAAAATTTGGTAACGTGGTTAGGGCCCATCTACACTGCAGAACCCAACCACGCTGTAACTGGGTCTCTGGGATTGTTATTTTATAATATAGGAGCACCCACGGAAAAAAATTAGCAGGTGCCAGCTTTCCCCCTGAACGCCTCCTCCCTGCTGGCAGCCCCACTGATCAACTTCTCCCCTTCCCTCCCACCCACCATAGGTCAGCTGTTCCACGGTGTGCAGGAGGCACTGGGCGGGAGCGGGGACAGGGTGCGCTCAGGGGACGGGGCGGGAAGAGGCGGGGTAGGGTTGGGAGCTTGGGGGAAGGGGTGGAGTGGGGGCAGGGGTAGAGCGAGGGCGGGAAGAGGTGGGGTGGGGGCTTGGGGGAAGGGATGGAGTGGGGATGGGGCAGAGGGGGGGTCTAGCACCCCCTGGGTTGAGAGGAAGTCTGCACCGATGCTGGTGGAGATTGCCATCCTGCCCTCTTCCCAGGGCATTCTGCCAGTGCCTGGCATGGCACTGCCTGCCAGCGGCCCCGTGAGTACACCATAGGGTTCTGAGGCTGCAGCGGCAGAGCACGAAAGCAAATCCATGCTGCCACGGAGGTTTGGGGGGAGTGGACATTAAAGGATGGGAAGTCTTCAGAAGGGCGAATTAGCTGGCAAGGGCCTGCTGGATTCTGAGGAGTTCAGTGCGCATGGAGGCCAGTAAATTCCACTCTCTGTTCCCAGGGCAGATCCTGACTCTGACCTTCTGCTCTCACTCTATGGGCTCATTTCCAGCTGACACCAGTGGAGAGTTCGGCACATAGAGGAAGAGCAGAACAGCCAAGACAAGCTCCATTGTGAGGATCCAAGCGAGGAATGTTCCCCAGGGTGAGGTTAAATGCCCTTGGAGGTGCCAGCATGTACAAAAGGGAAGGACCTGGTGGCATACCCGTGTCTCTCATGTTCTCTGTCTCAGCTCAGACAGTTCCGTGGCCTCGCTCCATTCTGGAGTCTCGATAGCTCTGCCCTGGGCAACCCTTAGGAACAAAACAAGTGTCCCTTTCGTCATCAGCCGCATTACTTTCAGCTTCCCACCTGAAGACAAGACAGGGCCACTTTTGTGATGGCTGCCATTTTGGCTGATGCCAGGGATTGAACAAAGGAGCCTAGAGCATGAGTTGTCAGGGCTGGAGCTAAAGAGCCAGGCTGGCACGCTCAGCGCTGTAACAGACTCCCCCCTGCTGTGGATCAGGCACAGAGGCGACACATTGAACCATGAGTCTATCACCACATGCCCTGCGGTCAGCCAGGCTGAGGGGAGGGATTGGAGCTGTGCACCCATTTTATACCACAGCCGTCTTTGGTCACTGGGTGTAATTGTTTCAGATTTGGGACCAGGTCCACACCTGAGCCTGGGATGCTGCTTTCATGAGGCAAGACACAACATGCCGGAGCAAGGGGAAGTGCCGGGGTCTTCCACACAGACAATCCGACAGAGGCCGTGGGGCAAAGAGATCTTTATTTGTAACAAAACAGCAAGTCCTTATAAATCACTCCCAGCCCTTTTTAAAATATTGCCAAGACAGTCCACTTTAAAACATGCCCATTCACCCTCATGACATGGTTAGGCTCCCACAAGTGCATGAGACCAGCCTGCATTGGTGGCATAGACTGCGATAGATGGCCCCCACCCCTAGAGGCAGCAGACTCTGCCCCTTGGTGAATTCAGTCCCTTTGTCTGAATTCGGGGCATTCTCAGGTTGTTCTCCCCGCTGTATCTCACAGCAACTCTGCCACGGTAGCTCACAGTTCTGTGCGTCTGCTCCCCTCCCCACACTGCACGCCCATGTGCTGGCGAGGAAAGGGCGAAGGATACGCACGCGTCATCAGCGCCCAAGCCAGCCGCGAAGGGCTGCCCAGCTGCACCGGGACTCTCCATGCCTCGCTCTCTCTGCTGGGAGAGGAGGGATTCCAAGCCCCCGCCCCTCGGAGATCCTGGATCAGGCTGGCGTGCCACAGGTTTGTGGGAGATCACTCCAGGCACAAACCGCAGTCGGCAGCATCCCAATCTAGCCACTTCCAGCAGCAAAGAAAGTGCTGCCTGGGCCAGCAGATCCAGATGGGGCGAGGTCCCAGTAGCCCAAATCCTCTAGGTAACCTCTACACAAAACAGCTCCCTCCTCCCCCCACTCTGTGAAGCTCAGATGGGCTCTTCCTTGGTCTACTGGTACCTATCCCCACAGAGCAGCAGGGCACATGCTCAGGTCATGCTGAAAGAAGTGGTCAAGGAAGCAAGGTTGCCACACATTGAAACTGATGGCAGGCTTGTATTCCCATCAGAGGCTTGCATCTGCCCCTCCTCAAATAGATCCAAACCTCCCTCCCCACCGTGAACCTAGCTGGGATTCCCCCACCTTTGGCCACCTGGGTTTGGTACATCAGAAATGCCGGAGCATGAACTTGGTACAGAAAACATTGTCACGCTCCTGTCGTCTCTGGGCTCATGCAGCTGAAGTCCTGTGACAACCCGCGTTCAGGTGACGGCCGGGGTGGAGGTCAGGTTTTCCTGGTCCTTCCCGTGAACACGGAGCTCTGGTGAGATGTTGCCATGTCAAGCACTGTAGTGCTCACCTCCCGGCCACCAGGAGAGGGCTGGCACCCGGCCTCTCCAACCCGATGGCAGTGATCTGTCCCTTCCATCCTGGCTTGTGCTCCTCTCCTAGATCGGGAGCCACCAGCCTCGCCTACGAGTTGCAGCACAGCAGTCGCCTGCTGCTAAAAATGTTCAGCGTCTTCCCCGCTGCGATCTGGCACTCGAAGCCGAACGGTTCCACCCTGCCAGCCAGCCAGCGGGATGGCGAGCCCAGCCAAAACTTGGGCTGCTCGGTTTCCATCGGGGTGGGACGCGACACATATCCCGCTGCCTCATTGACGGCATGGAGGCTCCATGAGAACAACCTGGTCTATTACGGAGCCGTGGAAAGGATCTCGGTGACCAGGGCAGAGAATGCGCCTTCCGCCTGATTTAGCTTCGACCCCAGCCAAGCCCTTTTATGGTGATTTCAATGGCCAAGGGGAGGCTGCAGTCCGGGCCTGCGCTGGAAAAGCCACCTCCAAATCACTGCGACGCAGCAGTGCAGCCGTCTCCCCGGCCCCAGCCATCAATCTGCTCCATCGCTCCCAGAGAGGAGCTGCCTGGCTAATTACTTAACATGCCACAGCTTGCTAGAGTTCGGAACAGTGTGAAAGTCCCAGTAGTGAGGTGTATGCAGATCCATTAATAAATCTTTAATAAACCCGGTTGAAGGGAGGGGGAGGGACAGGGGGAAACACACGGCACAGATGGGTTCCCGTGCAAGCTGTTCCCGGGGCCTGCGAAACAGCGCTGGCTCTTTCATGCGCTCTCCAGCCCTTGCCTCGCGCTCTGCGCTGCTCCTAGTCTCACAGCATCTGTCTCAGCAGTTGTTGCATGGCGGATCTTCACCTGGCCGCCTGGCGTCTCTGGACAGCGTCATGCCCGTGGGGGTAGGAGGTGTGATGATAATGGCCGGGACTCTCAGGTGTTTGCTGTCCACCACGGGCGTCTGGCTGCTCCCGCTGCTCACACATGATTTAAAGCCTGAGAGAGCGAGATGAGAAAGAGAGAGAGTCAGGGCCATCTGGGGGAGCACAGCTCGCTGGGAGATGAACTGGGGGGGGGGAGGGGCAGGGCTGGGCAGGGACAGGAGACGACGGATAATTTCCTGATCCTCTGCGCATTTCTAGGGCGCTTCCTCGCAGGAGATCCAATTAACGTGATTTCTTTGCACTGCAGTAACACATAGGGGCCTCCATCATAGACGATCCCTCCCACAGCTGTGCTAGGGGCTGTACAAATGCAGCCAGAGGTGCATACAGTGGTATAGCTATCACTGCATGGGAAGGCACCTTTGTACTGGTCTAACAGGGTCCACGCTAGGGGGTTGTGCTGGTCTAACCAGCTCCGGAATAGAAAGTCACACCCCTGCTCAAGACAGTTATACTGGTACAAAAGCCATGTGTAGACCAGGCTTTAGTGCCCCCACCCCTTCTTGAATTAAGCCTTGCGCTAGGGATGGGACCACTCCTGGGGAGGGGGAGGGAGCAGAGGCAGGGGGTAGTTTGCGGAAACTCTCCCTCCCCATCTCGGAATGCAAGTGACGGTTTTGCCAGGGATGTTTCTGAAAACAAAGCCCAGCAGCCGCTCTCTGTTGGAAGCCAAGCCCGCCCCCCGCTCACCACCCCGATTCTCCTTTGAGAGTAATTCCTGCCCTAATTGATTTGTAACCCAGGAGTACCAAGGGCCCATCTGACAGCAGGACCCCACTGTGCTGAGCACCTCACCCCACACACAGAGCCCCTGCCCTGAACATCTCACATCCACGAGACAAAGGGTGGCACAGGAACCAGAGGCCCAGAGGCCCAAGCTCACCCAGCAAGGCAGGGACAGAGCGGGGAATAGAATCCAGATCCCCTGACTCCCAATCCAGTGCACTTCCCATTAGATTAAGATGACTAGCTTCTAAAGCAGCATTTCTCAAATGCGGCCAACAGGGGCTTTTCTTGCGGCCACACGCTCCTGGGTGGTGATTGGGGGTGGGAAGCAGCAGCTCCTCCCCAGGGGCTGCCAGCAGGGGTTGGACCCTGCCCCCTGGTAGAGCCACAAATGGCAGAGGAGCAGGCAGCTGGTGTGAGTTCCCCACCTTCCTGGGGACACTGGGGCTCGGACTTCCAGCTTCAGCCCTGGGGTGGCGGGCTGGGGCCCCCAGCTGCGGGGCGGCAGGCTCTGGGCATGTGGGGGTAGGCTCCAGCTTCAGGTGCTGGCCCCACGCTTACTACCCTCGACATCACCGCTGGCCCCGCCGCCTCCACCGGCACCCCATCCATTCCCACATTGCCCCTGGCCCCGCCGCCTCCCCCGGCACCCCATCCATTGCCCCATTGCCCCTGGCCCCGCCACCTCCCCCGGCACCCCATCCATTGCCCCATTGCCCCCGGCCCCGCCGCCTCCCCCCCCGGCACCCCGTCCATTGCCCCATTGCCCCTGGCCCCGCTGCCTCCCCCAGCACCCCATCCATTGCCCCCGGCTCTCACTGCCTCCCCACCCACCTCCCCATCCTGGTCTTAATTTGTCCCCCAGCTTGCTGGGGCTGATTAAGCCAGCTGTGAAAAGTGCTATGTGTATGTTTGTTAATATCACTTTTCAGTGCCTCCCAGCTCCTTAGCAGACTTACTGGCTAGCAAGTCCATAAATAAATAAATAAATAAAAATGCCACCAAAAAAGCAAAACAAACAAACAACAAACAACAACAACAACAAAAGACAAGAACATGCAAAGCAAATTATCTGTGTTTCTATTCTGTTTAGGTCCAGTTGTGAGAACCACTGTAAGTGACCCGAGGCACAAGTGGAAAACCCTCACAGAAGCCCAGACATATTTTGCCAGGAAATAATGGAACAAGACCCTGGGGAAGGTGAGTTCGGTTTTCAGTGTACAGCTCATTATTTCTATGTGGCATCTAAATTTGGTCAAACCTACCCACAATAGCCCTGCTGCACTCCACCCCATCTCTGCAACACTTAACAAACCAATGCATTTGCACAGGTGTCACCTTATCTGGCCTTTTCTCTAATCATTATTCATTAGTGTCTGAAAAGCCCTTTGAAATCCTCCAAAGGTGCCGGGGAAGTGCAAAGTATTTTTATTATCATTTAGTCCTCTGTGAGAACACAGAACAACATTAAGAATTGGCCACTGGGAGTTGAAGTCCCACGGACGGGAGCTAAACGCCAGCCAGACCTCCCAAAGCTGGAAGTCTTCTGGAATCTGGCTCTAATCACTTCTGATCATCTTATTGTTGAAATAAATGCCCAATCCTTCATTAATCCCCTTGGACTCTTGGCTTCAGTGTTATCCTGCAGCAGCGAGTTCCACAGGTTGTGTATTACTTTATCTGGCTGCCCTCCTTGTCCTTGTCTTAGACAGGAGGATACATAGAAGCACTCGACTGACTGTGACGGGACTAGCCAATATTTTAGATACCTCAATCATATCCCCGCTAATCCATCTCCTCCCCAAACTAAGCAACCCCTGGTCTTTCAGCCTCTCTCATATGGAAGCCCCTGATAATTTTCATTGCCCTGCTCTGGGCTAGCAGTGGAGCGCAGTGCAGTGAACCTGTTGTTTCCTGACGGCGTTGAGGATCAGTCCCTTGTGCCTGTCCCCCAAGTATCCAGGGACCACGTTGTGTCTGTCCCATGCTACAGGTGAGGCAGCACATGCTGCACTCTCCAGGATGCCAGCAGGCCTGCTGTCTATGAGATTGATCCCCGCTCGAGTCCTTCAGCCATTGGGCCATATGGACACACAGGCTCTGCTGTGCACCCATCCGCAGCCCAACTGCTCCTCACGATGCCACGCTGAACTACTCTGTCACCGTAAAAGTGACCTATGATCAGATTCCGACCCCGGAAAAAAGCCCTGCTCCTGGTAACATGGCACGGAGATGATGGAGCAGAAGCAAAGTGATTTATAAAGGACATGTCAGCGGTTTGCAGCACAACCAGATTTGCAGCCAAAGACGTCTCAAGAGTGCCCTCTACTGGGCAGAAGTGGGTTGTGCACACACCCCTGCGTGGGTGGATGGTGGTTCAGTTTACATAGGCTCATGATCAGGAGATGTGTAATTAAGGCTTTTCCTAACCAGTTTGATGGCTGGACTGACCTACACAGAGTAATTAAAAAGCTGCGTGTTGCAGGCTGTTCAATCAAGGAGAACAAGTCGGAGTGATGCTGAGAATAAGCCAGGGGCCCAGGAGTTGGAGAGCTGGGAAAGGGGGCTGCATCCGATGGAAAGAATTTAAAAAATGGTATATTGTAAATTGTCTTTTGGGGTGGGGGGCAGGGGAACGATCAGTAACTAAAGCTCCTCCTTCCAGTACTTCCCTCTCCCCCCAAACTTTAACTCATCCTTACCCAACAGGCAAAGGGGATTTTGCCTTGCTCAGTTAGCATCATTCTAAATTCCAGCCAAAGGGCAACTGGACAGAGTTCTTATCAGAGCCCATCCACGTCGCTCCTTCCACGGCCAGAGAGGGTGCTGTGGAAAGAAGACCCTCACAGGCTGCTCCAGCACGGACAGCAGCCAATGAGTCCTGGGCTCCAGCAGGGTGGTGTAGAGAAAAGAGACCGTTGTTCGCCCTGCACTAGGCCACCAGGATCGGTGGCGGTTTCATTTGTAATATGCCGTTATGAGGGGAGTCAGCAGAAGGAGCTGCTATAGCATCAAACCAGTTCCTTTTCTCCTGGTGCAAGCAGTGCGCAGTTTTTGAAGACGCACATGTGACGATACCTTTTTCCGCTACAAGCATCTGATCAATGAATGGCCCTCGTTCCTAGGGATGTTTTTAACAGAGGACACCTCTGACTCGAGGTTGCTGAGCACTTGGAAGGCAGCCCGAAGGGGAGCGCTAGTCCAGGGATGAGCACCCGGAAGGCAGAAGGACCTCGGAAAGAAGGCCCATGGGTTTGGGGAGGGAACCAAGAGTGAGTGATGTCAGGGGACGTTAGGCAAAGAGGTGGAGGGACCCACCGGCAAGGACTGGCAGGGAAATTATGGTGGTTTGATAGGGATTGAGGGAAGGTTCTTTCTAATGTGCCACCGACCCAGCCAGTGAGAAGTCTGTTCACCAGTCTAGTTGCTGAGCTGGCTCCCACCTCCATCCCAGCAATAACCCGGCCGGGGTTTAGCAGCCCTGGCTGTGGGCTGTATTCACCCCACATGACACGTTTGCCGTGGTCCCAAGGTTTCCATTAGCCTTTCAGTTTTGGAGCCCTAGGTTCAAGTCTTGCTTGGGACCCAAATGCAGCTAAGTTGGATGCTCTCAGTCTCACCCCTAGTGAACATCTGCCCACATCAGAGAGGTGTCTCCCCCCTCCACCTCCCCGTGGTGTCTCAGGAGGTGCACAGGACTGGGCAGCAGGAGATTCTGCAGCTCAGGACGGCAGGGCACTGGCAGAGCTGGGAGGAGCCCAGGTCTGGACTATCAGGTGTGCTGCAAGCCCGGAGTGAAATGCATCAGCAAAGCTGGGTCTGGGGCTCTGCCCGGGCTATGGCTGCCTGTAGCCAGCACTTTCAGTCTTTGCTTTCATGAGCTTGACATTCATTCCAAAGCAGCAGAAGTCTCAAGTGTTCGCAAGGCTGCTGGATATTCTCCCCGTTCAGTTGAACAAACCCCAGGATGAAGGTGAGCTCTCAGACCTCCCACAGCGAGCCGGCCAAATCCTTTGAGATCCACTCGTCACTAAGGGTGCACGTGGCTTCAGCAAAGAGCCAGCAATTGGCTGCAGGAGCTAGATATGAACTGGGGTTATGAGGCAGTTGGTCTGTAGTGCATCATTAGACCTAACACAGGGGTTGGCAACCTTTCAGAAGTGGTGTGCTGAGTCTTCATTTATTCACTCTAATTTAAGGTTTCGCGTGCCAGTCATACATTTAAACATTTTTAGAAGGTCTCTTTCTATAAGTCTATAATATATAACTAAACTATTGCTGTATGTAAAGTAAATAACGTTTTTAAAGTGTTTAAGAAGCTTCATT